CAGTATCAACAACCGAAAGCTAGGAGTCCATCGCACCAAAACACCTAATATTTGGTAAAAAAAATAGCAATCGAAGTTACCGCTCAAGCTTACTACAAACAGCAGTTGATTTCTATACACATCTGACACACATTAAAGGATAAGTGCATAGTAGTGTAAGTACTTACAGAAAGTCATCCGTTTCATTGTAAAATGGAGCAAGATAGGTCACCATCCAAACTTTGCCACCAAAACAGTCAAAGTAGGGACGCGTCCAGGCCCCGTCCTCAAACGTCACGTGCGGGAAAGTACGTTTTTGAAGCACATCTTTGGTGGTTGTGTTGAAACGTTCTTCGTAATAACTACTAATTCTCGCGGGTTTAAAACTGAGCGCCTTGCGCTTCGGTTTGTGCCACCAAATGGCGTTTTGATCTGTGGTGTAGTCATACCCTTCACTTGCGCTGACTATATCAATTACATGAACGCTTCCGTTCAGTTCGGGATCTCTGAAAGCGTACGGGCAAAACCTTGTGTAATTTTTATACAAGTAGTTATCAAAGCAAATTACCGATCCGAAAACGGGTGGCGAAAACAAAACGATGGAACGTACAAAGTCGTACAACAGTGCGTCGTTCGCTGCAACGGAATAACCGTTTTCACCAGGAGAACGCCACAACGACGTCATCAGATTAGCTACTTGGACGGTCAAGAGCGCTTCCTTTTTCCACCGCCGTTCGTCGAATGTTATGTTCAACAGATCAACCTTGTCACAACCTTTGTTTTCGCGAAGCTGCTGCTCGACATCCGCAACTCGGCGAAGAGCCTCGATTACAGACTCGATTCTGCGCTTAGTATGCTCGTCTTGTGTGGTTGTGGACGCGTCTCCCGCAGCGCTAGCACCACAGAAACGTTGTAGCCAAACATGGCGAGTGGAAATGTGATGAACCATCATTGTCACAAACACAACGAAACGTGGAGACATCATCGCAAAACTGAGAGCAGGTTGCCTCCTGATCTAAAAGAGGCGAGCAGAAAGGAGAAATTAATCCATTAATACATCGTGTGAACAACACATGGTTCCAAATAAAAGTAGTTTTACAACTTTGCCTGCGCCAGAAGAATATTGCCACTGGATTGGTTGAGGGAATAAATTCTGAGGACCTGAGGTGATTAACCTGAATTATTCAAAATCCATACAGTGAAAGGCTGTCATCATTTATGTTATTTCTCTGTGATGCAGTTTTAAGTATGGTGTCTTAGTTCAAAGAGTGTTTTAATTAAAAAAAGGTCGCATTTAATTTATGGCGGTATATTTATATTCTACAATATCTACAGCGTAAAATATACCATTTGCCAAGCTTTTTTTTCCTTTACTTTTAATACATCCGGAACGGGGTTCTCGTAGGCGGACTGAATTAGTCATTGACAGTTTTCCTCATTTTATGCATGAAAACAAGTTGTTCACAATTTTGTCTCTTCACTCTATGTGGTTAAAGTAATCTACTCAAACTTAATTGTAAGTCTTTCCGCAACTTAAAAACATGGCAGCGCAGTGATCAATACATTTAAACAATTTAAAAATTGTGAAGCTAGCTTCGATGTACTTGGTTTTTTTAAAATTCAATCAGCTTTATTCGTACACGTATTTTTTTTTTTTTTAATTCATGCAGAAGAGTAAAATAAGAGTTCTTTGAATTTTGATAATAATACCGCTTCATTTAAATTAAAAACTGTTTTGACAATTGCATCTCTTTACCTGCACACTTTTCCCATTTGTTGCTCGGACGAGCCTCTTTAGCACTTAAATTAAATAAATTTTGTAATTCTCAGTGTAGCAAACGGATTATAGCCTGTTGAAAAGGCATATTATGGTTTTCGATTAAACGTCAAACTGTCACTTTCGTAAGTCCGTTACGTTTTATTGGTGCTTTCAGGCCATGTAGGGTTCAATTTGAACGGCAATAAACAGCATGAATTCACCTGCTAAGAATTGACAATTAAAAAAGATCAAGCTTTGCCGCTGAATAGAAATGCTTTTAATAACTTTAATCACACAAAACTTCCATCGAATTCGGTCACGCAGATACGATTTTTCCCTTTGCATTGACCCGCCGTCTCCCATTTTTCTGTTGAACAGTTCGCCATTCACGCTGAATTGGGGCCGGAGTGCAGGTGTTACTGCTCTTAGCAAGTTTTCTCGTGTTCAAACAAATTATTGATGACTTAATTAGAAAATATTGGCTCTGGTTCAACGACCGCCGAGAAATGGTAACATTTGACTGTATATATTTGACGATCGCGAGGTTACGCCTCTCCTCATCAAAATCATTCCGACCCCTGAAGTAAATTGCGCAACAAACGAAAGTAAAAGTTTCACTTTTTCACTTCGAGCGCCTTTTGTTTAGTATCAAGTCCGTCCAGTTCAAAATCAACACTTCTTTGAGTCAAGATAATAGCAAGTTTTCCGACATTTTCATTTTGTGGCTCGGAGCATCGTCCGACAACATGAAGGCTAGCCATTTCCAGGCTTTCAGTTAGTTGAGGTGCAGCGCTAAAGCGGTGGCGAGAGCGAAAGAAAGGAGAGACTTTCTTGCGCCATTTTCGCGCTGTGTCACAACTGAACTGAACACTTGACTGAGGCTACTTGAAGGCTGAAAGGAAATCGAAATCACGTCCAGTTTTCTGTCTTATTTTAGAATAAATCTATTAACGTCCTATCACGAATACCGTTTCTTTATTGCTACGCCACTCACTATCTATTCTGTTGTACATAGTGAGTAACCTAGCAGCATGCGGTTGTTAATAAAATAGCGGCCACTTCGATTCTTTGCGTTTCCGAAGTGTCGACCTGTCTTGTTGTTTAAATTTGAACAACTGGTAAATTTATACCAAAGCAATTCTATTTTTTGCTCACGATTTCTATGCGTGATAGAAATCTCGAGCTCATAATCTAATTGTTAAATAGGTAAAACAATGACAAACTTAAGATTTTTTAGGTATGTTTGGTAAACTGTGTCTTTCGGATTTAATTAAATAAATTTTGAAAAGAACGTAGGTGTTCTCAAACTCTGACAATTATTTTTACGTCACTTACTATAATTATCACTCCACTATGGCAATTGACTATGAAACTCCCACAGTCAAATGATGATTAAACGAGCTTATTCCGTCTTAATGAACTAAGATGAACGATAATAATTCGAACAGAAAAAGTCACTTTTAACTTTTGCTGCAGTTTCAGAGCCAAAAAATGCCAACTGTGTGGAATATAGAAATTTGTTGCTCTTTTTACAGCACGTAAGTGAATGGAATTTTCGTTTGAAAACTCTGTTTAGTAAAATCAAATATTTCAATTGCGGGATAAAACTAGCTATATTTTTTAAAAATACTTTCTCTCTAAATATACTTTATTTTTTACATTAGAGTTAAGAATCCGCTTTAAAAAGAAAACCAATACCTACTAAGATCACCCCACGAGCAGCTCTATTTTCGGTTTTCAATCCATGAATTTATACTTTTAGTCTCTTTTTTCAAGTATATCTACGTAAACTAGTTTTTAACCAAACCAAGTAAGACTTACCGGTCTTATCGTTACACACAGAAACAGGGTTTGTTTACTTCACGCTAACGTGTTGCAAACCATTTTAAAATCCACGAAACCTCTATTAGTACATACCACACAAATGCATGAATAGTGCTTTACACAAGTTCTGATTAACTCGGATGTAATTAACACAGTATTGTTCACCTCCACTGAGGTAAATAATTCAGTGTTAACTCTTTATGTTTTGTCATCACATACAAAGTTTCCACCTTAACCAGGTGCTTCATCTTGCTTGCTTACTTGATTCATGTCCACCAAAACTTTTATTTCAACGGTTTTGTTTTTGAACTTCAAAAAAATTGAAAAAGAAAGTCATATGTCACAGCTGAATGTCTCGTTCCGGCTAAAAAATCAATTTCATAGCTTAAAGTTAAAATAATCTTACCGAAAACAACGCTCGGGAGTGAATTAGCTTGCGCAATCAAGTGGTGACAAGTGGAATTAAGAGATAATTTCAGGAGAATACCATTGGAATATCGACAAATTTCGATTACAATCGTCGGTTTTTTGACTTGTTTATTGTATGGAGACATTTCGCGCCAAACGTTGCCAGCTGCAAATTAATTTTGTAATTTGTGAAATTATAAATAAGCGCTAAAATTTGACGCCCCAAAATCAAGGGGTAATTTGTCACCCGTGATGTTACAAATTTAAGTCAGCTAATGAACTGACAGTTCTAGAGGCTTAGCACATGAAGGGAAAGAGAGATAGTCCTTGTTTGTGAAAAAAAAAAAAACACTCTCTCATGTTGTTTGGTAGATCACTTCCAGTTTCGAAAAATCCGAGACCGGTCTGAAAATAGCCAATCCCGTGACGTGAACAGCCTATATACAAGCATTTTCATCCTCGAAGAAGACATCCACGCAACGCACGTGCAACGCGCGTGCAATGCGCGTGCAACGCGCGTGGTAACATTAGCCGCAGGAGAACTGGATGCCACATCTAAAAATAATTTGAGGGTTCAGTCGGATTGCCTTGAGAATAAGGCCTATGTAGAGCCGGGGATTAATTCTCTTGTTTAGAGCGAAAAAACGTACTGCGCGGCTTTCTGGGCATCCCTAGCCCTACTTGCGGGCTCAGGTAATAATGAAGGCCGCGATGGTGGAAAGAAAGGTGGACTGCTAATAAGGAGCGTGATGACGTCGTTCGGTTGATTCATTTATACTTGGGCAAGCATGATTTTTTTCCCCCACTGCATGCTGAGAGGCTCTCTTGCATATATGGACGTAATATGGACGTAATATGTAAAGAGTGTTTGTGGAAGAAATGAGTGTTTGCACCGAAATTCTTTGTATACTGTGGGAAAATAAAGGGTTGGAAACCTTCTTTAGGTTAATTTTGTCCGCAAAAGTTAGTAAGTAAGTAAAAGCTTTATTAATGTGCCAATGTATTTAGTTTTCACAACTAATTGGGGACA